TCGGTTGGTGTATTCTATTAATCATTTTTCTCAACATCTTTGTCAACTGCAAAAGGTATCTTAGCTTTAGAATTATTACTATATTGTTTATATATGCAATTTGGCTCATTGTTATTTTTTTATATCTGAAATCTTTGACTGTTTGACTAACTATTCCTTTTGCTTTTTTGCAGACTAGTGATTCTCTCATTTTGCTGTTTAGCCAAATCCCTAATGATCTTATGATCTTGTTTTTTGGTTCTTCTGTTATTCTACTCTGTCTGAATGTAATTTCTTTATTTTCTTTTTTCTGTCTCAAATTCATTACTATAAGCTTTGACTTTGCTTTATTTATTTTAATATCATTTGCTTTGAAGAACTTCTCTGCAATTTCAAGAATTTTTAGCAATTGGTTCTTGCTTTTTGCGATCCATGTAATATTATTAGTATAAGCAATTGCTGCTTGTCTGTATTTTGTAATACAGTTAATGTCTGCATTGTTTGATGTTTCTTGTTCTACTATATATTCTAATAATTCATCTTTTTGAATTCTTTCTAGCAGTAGATCATAGAATAGCCACCAAATTAGTAGAGAGATTACTTCTTCTTGGTTTATACCATCTTCTGTTGTTATTTCTTCTGTAGATTATAAACTGTAATTACTTTAAGTTGTTATTTACAAAAGAGTTTAATAATATATTTTATTGTTTTTTGTGGTATTTTGACTCTTTTGAGAGTCTACTCTAGGCTTTTTAGTAAAACTGAATCAAATGCCTTCTTTATGTCTTACAAAAGTATCAATGTTTCTTTATTTTTCTCTTGTGCTTCTTTCATTATTATATTTAGTATATGTATTGGTTGTTCTGTTAAGTCATTAGGCAAGCCTGCATAGTTTGGCCCTTTGAGTATTTGTCTCTCTGTAAATATCTTGGTCAACCTTTTTGTTACCACCTTTGTAACTAATTTCCTGAAGGTATCAATTAGTGCTATTGGTCTAATATTGTTTAGATTGTATCTCCAATCCATGTCTTTTGGAATTGGATAGACTTGTGCTATTTTCCACTTCTTCAGCATTTTATCTGTTTTTATAACCAGATTTGCAAAAGCTTTAAAAATCTTTTGTGATTTTTTTCTTATTCATTTTATTAAAGTGTAACTTATGCCTGAGATTTCTGATACTATATTGGCTTTAAGTTCTCTTAGAGTATCTTCCCATTCTTCTTCTTCTATTTTCTCTTTAGCTTTTCATACCAAGATTCTTGAATTCATGCTTTTGGATTGTATATTTCTTTCCATTTCTCTGACATTTCTTTTAGCTTGGTTTTCCATTTTCTGAATTGGTTTCCAAAATACTTTGTTAGACTATTTAGGATGGCCTCAGGTTCTGTTGTTAGACTTGCTTCCTCTTCATTTTGAATTATGAATCTGTCGAGAATTATCTTTTTGTATGGCTTGTTCAACAGGCTAGCAATTATTCATTCATAATCAGTTTTGATTATCTCACATCTTTTGTTTATATTTTCTTCTATTTGTTTTCTTTGTGCTTATTCATATTTCTTTTTTCTTCTGTCTTTCAAGATTTTTTGCCAGCTTTTTATATCATCTAACCAAGCTTCTGACCATTGTTTGTGTAACTTTGACAGCACTACACTTATTTTTTTGCCAATGTCCTTGAGCTTATTGTTTATTTCTTCTTTTTCTTTTTCTTCTGTTACTTGATTTCTTCTTATTTTTGCCTTTTTTATTATTTGTTGTAGTACCATTATATGTCTGCATTGCTATAACTTCTTTTGATGATGCCTTCTGTTTAATTTTATATTAAATATCTTCTTTTTTGGTATTTATTTGTTTGCTACTTCTATAATGGCTTTTTCTATTGCATTCTATATATAGTTTAATGTATCTGTATAACACATATTGCTTGACCTATCCTCTTCTAGTTGTTTCAGCACTTTTTTCTACTCTAATTGTATTTGAAGCTCTATAGCATATTCTTCTCAATCTTTTGTTTTGCTTTCTCATATAAGTATATTGTTCTCATTTGATCTTTATATTTAATCTTTGCACAGCTATAGTTCGTGATTACATGTTCTACCTACATGTTTGTTGTTAGTATTTTGTGATTACTGTCTGTTATGCTTTCTGTCTCTTCTATGTTGGCTTCCTGAAGGTCAGCTGTAAGTGTCTCTGATAGTCAGATATAGTCAATTCTTGTTGCTACTTCTTGACTTGACCATGTATATGCTTTTTCTGTTGGATGCAAGTTTCTAAAAAAATTTGTGAAATTTTGCCTCTTAAGCCAATTAAATATTGGTAGTCTTTTGTATTCTGTTGTTTGTAGATTTAGTCTGTCTAGTATGTTGTTCACTGTGTAATTAAAATCTTCAAATATAATTACTTTTGTGTTCTTTCTTCTATTTGATACTATTTTTATAATTTTTTGCTGTATCTTCTTATTGATCATTTTGTTGTTTGGTGGAATATACACATCTATTATTATCAGTACTAATTGTTTAAAGTATGGTTTTACTTATATCATATATTCACTGAATCTTTTAACTGCTCCGACATGTTTTTTCCAAGTTTCATTTATTAAAATTTTAATACTCAATCCTTTCTTCTTGTTCAATATAGCACTTGCCCAATAACTCTTAAATCTTGTATTAAGGTTATGTAACAGAATTTTCCTTTCTTTTTTTGTAATATTTGTTTCTGTTATGTTCAAAATTGTTGTTTTTGCTTTTTCTGCCTAACCTAGCAGGTTTTCTAGTTTCCAACCTCTGGTTTTAAGTCTGTTAACATTGTGACAAGCTATTTATATTTCTTTTCTTTCTTTTTTTTATACTTTCTTTAAACTTTTGTATCTTGTTTCTGTGTTTTCTGCTTTCTCTTTTTTTTTTCTTTTTATTTCTTTCTTTGGATTAGGAGACTTGTCTCTATTTTTTTCTTCAAAAACTTTTCTCTCACTATATAAAAATTTTCTAATCTTCTTATTCATGTTTGTGGGTTCAACTAGGATGTCCTTAGAAGTGATTTGCTAGGCTGTCTCTAGCTATATCTTTTGTTTTCTTTAGTCTTTTTAGTCTCTCCCAAATTCACTCTAAGAAGTTCTTTATGCATGATTTATTTTCTTGCTTTTGTGTCTTGGCTTCTTCTGTTTCTCTTTTATGATCCTTTTCTTTTTTATTTTTTATGCTTGTGTCTCTTTATTGATTCTTTTTGTATCGGTTTTGGGATTTGTTTCTTTCTTTTAGTAAGGTATCTTTATGGCCTACACCACTTCTGTACCTATTTTTGTTTGCATAAGTCTTGTTTTTTTGTCTCTTTTTGTTGCTTTTATTCTCTTTTGCATCTGAGGTTTGGCTAAATCTGTCCCAACTTCTTTCTCTTTCAACTTTACAACTTTTTCTTGCCTCTACTTTCTCTTTATTAATCCAATAAACTCTAAAGTTATTATACAAAATTAGTTTTGTTAAAGCTGCATTTATATCTTTTTCTGTTGCAAACATTACTATTGCTGTTCTTTTCTGGTTTTTATTTCTATTTAAAGGAATATAAACTGACTTAACACCTTTGCTTTTTAGACATCATAGTAGTAAGACTTCTGTGACATTTCTGAGTAGTTTAGTTAACTTTGCTGTATATTTTCTTTGTTTTTCTTTTGCTTCATGGTTTTCTTCTTCTCTAGTTATTTATATTAGTTTATCATTGTTAACTAGTATGGCCCATAGAATGTCTTCTTTTTTGCCTTCTTCTATCTGCACAATTGCAAGTAACTTGTATTTTGATCTTTTGATTCTTATTATTTGGGCATTTTTGAATTTCCTGCAGATATATTCTAGCTCCCTTCTATTGATGCCTGTTGGCAAGTTCTATATTGTTATGTATGTTTTGTCACTAGATTTCTCATCTAACTTGTAGTCATTTATGTCATTTTCTGTTTCATTTTCTTCCTTGTTATATATTTTTTCTTCCTTTTTCGTTGTGCTATTTTTTCTTTTACAGTATTTTTTATATAATCTTTATTTTCCTTTTATGTCTTTTTGTTCTTCTGGTATTAGTTTATACCAATCACTTTTTTTTTTGCTGATTCTTTGAATTACTTCATTTCTGCAATATTCACAATCAAAGTCTACCTCTATCTACAAGTTACTTTTTTTAAAGACTTCTTTAATAACTTTAACATGTTTATTGTTCTTTAGTGACTATTTGATGAATTTTGTACATTCTTCTTTTATTGTTTCTGGCACATTATGTGCTGATATATTGACAAGTAGACTGTTATTTTGGTTACATCTCTTTTGTTTAGCACCTACATGCTCTTCTTTAGTAGTTCTTCTACTATATTAATTTTTCTTTCGAATTTTTGTTTTGTTTCATATTATGATTATGTCTTTTTTGTTACTATGCTATATTTTGATTCTTTTCAATTTGCATTTATACTCATTTTCTTTGTGATTTCTTCTTGTTAAGCTGCTAAGTTAGTTTTTTATAATTTTCTTCATGCTGTCTGTCTTCTTTTATATCTATTTCTAATATTAACTCTTGTTTAGTCTTTTGAATTGATTTCAATTTTGTTGATTAAAGTTGCTTTTTCGATGTGTTATTTGTTTGTTCTAAGACCAGTTCTATTATTATTGCATAATTACTTTGTTTTACTATACTTAGCTTTTTTGCTAGCTGCTCTATCTTTGCTTTTCCTATTAACTCTCTTGTTAATTTTAGTAGTGCAACCTTATTTGGATTCTGTTCTGTTAGTATAGCAATGATTCTGTCTTCTTTATCAGATATAATATATGTTTTACTTGCTTGATTAAAGAATATCCATTATATACACTATTAACAGCCCAGTATGCTCTTTGGATATATGTTGTCATTAGACTATCATTATGTTCTCCTAGTGCATTCATATTTTTGTTTTATTTTGTGTACATGTCTGCTTTTGTTTTGTTGGTTTTTTTTTTTTTCCAGCAGAAATTATAAAGATATCTAAATATGCTTCATTTGTATGATTTTAATAGTTTATCTGGTATAGCCACACATTATGTTCCATCACAACGATTGCCACTTTTGGAAAATCGGCTAAGTGAGATTGAATGTGATGAACATGAAGTTATAAATGCAGCAATCGAAGAATTTGTTGCTGAATGTAATCGCGATTATTCTTATGCCCTTGGTGGAAATGTCAGAAAATCGATTGATCGGTAGGTTATAATATGAAAATAAAATTTGGTGATAAAATTTATTAACAAATATTTAAAAATAGATGTTTTAAGGGAGACAGTGTTGAAGATATCTTAAAAGCTTTGGAACAAGAAAACTCAGATTGGTCTAGGGCGACAATAAATACAATTTTACAAATGTCACCCACGAGTTTGAAAGTGAGTAATTTGCCTATCATTTTGATTAATTATTAAATTGACGCATTTTATTCAACAAATTTGTGTATTTTTGAAAGGTTACATTGAAAGGATTGCGTAAAGGAAAGAATATGGTCATAACGGATTGTTTTAAAATGGAATACGTACTTGCACAAAAATTCTTGGTAACCTGATGTATAAAATAATAATAGCTTTACTGTTGCAATTCAATGAATCACTAATTAATATGAATTTTCATTTACACAGGAAAAGTCCGATTTTGCGAGAGGTGTCAAGCACTTTCTTTTTGATAAACAAAAAACGCCTCCAAAATGGGATCCACCATCTTTAGAAAAAGTTTCTGATCTTAGATTCTATTTTAATCCCTCTGGCACACAAGAACTTGAACTATTGAACATACGTTCATTTGAAAATTATCCATTTTCGAGATTTAGCCTTCCGTCTGAGGAAGAAATTCGAAGAGTCGTCACCGGCGAAATGCCTGATTCTGGATCAATGAATAGGAGTAAAGAAGATGTTGTAGATTTTTTCCTTAAAGATCGCAAATTTAAAATTGGAGTGCGCAAGAAAGTATTAGAAGTCTTAAATAGAAAAACTATTTTGTTAGGTGGACAAGAAGGATTAGGATGGGTGAAAGATGAATGATTTTTATTGGAAGCCTACGATTTTGAAAAGAAATAAATCAATAATAAAATTATTGGACAGCAATCAGTTGTATTCTAACATTCTAAAAAAATTATTGCTTATAAAATGCTTGATGATAAACTATGTCAAAAAAATATAGAAACGGGCATGACGAATAAGCTTGTTTGTTATGCGCGCGTAACAAATAAGCAAGTAACTGGTTTTAGCAAGATTATAACCTTATACTTATTTAAATATAAAAAATGGAATTTTTTAACTATATATTTTAAGCAACTTGATACATTTGAATTAAAATGTAATTACACAAAATTTTACATATTAACTTGCAATTAAATAAATATATTTAA